AAAATTATTATTTTTTGATTCAATAATTTTTTGATTCAATATTCTTTAAGCTTGAACATATTCAATTAACTTAACAACTGATTCAATATTCTTTAAGCTTGAACATATTCAATCAATATTCTTTAAGCTTGAACATATTCAATTAACTTAACAACATCAACACGAGCTCTGTACTATCTATAATACAGCTCAAAGAATTCATTTTAATTTTACTTTACCATTGAAAAAATTGAAAAAATTTTTGCCTTCTATTAAGAATAATATGTACTTTAATTTATTAATAAAAGTGACTGATTCTCTCCAACCTTATGATGGTGTAGAATTAAAAATCAATAAGGTAAATCCAATATCTACCTAATATTCTAATTCCTAGTCCGATAATTGAAATAATGTATATTCCTAATGATTGAAAACAGTGCTTTTCGAGTCATTTATCGATAGATAGGACAAGAAAATATAATTCAATATACTAATGAACTACAAAATCCACGTTCGGAAATTGTCCCTCAATAAGAAACGGATCAGTGTGCAGAGGTACTTTCGGGATTCTTGTATTTATTTTTCACAGACACATAGAAATATAAGTAATAAGTTACCTATACGGTGTAAATGTAAGAATTTAATAGACGAAAATAATCGCACTTAAATAAACAAATTATTCAATACTTTTGAATTATTTGAACATAGATTTATGAATAAACATATAAAATTTTTCCAATCTCTGGAATTAAGAAATAAGAATCAATCGGGTAAATCCACTATCTACCTAAAATTCTAATTCCTAATCAAATTTTCGAAAAAATGTAAATTCCAAATGATTGGAAAGAGTGTTTTTCGCGTCATTTATCGTTAGATAAAGTACGAAAGTAAGATTAAATTTACTAATAAACTACAAAGTCCGTGTTTGAAACTTGTCCCTCAATAAGAAATGGACCAGTGTCCGGATTATAATCACCTATTTTCAAAAATTATTATTTTTTGATTCAATATTCTATAAGCTTGAACATATTCAATTAACTTAACAACATCAACACGAGCTCTGTACTATCTATAATACAGCTCATAGAATTCATTTTAATTTTACTTTACCATTGAAAAAATTGAACAAATTTTTGACTTCTATTTAGAATAATATGTACTTTAATTTATTAATAAAAGTGACTGATTCTCTCCAACCTTATGATGGTGTAGAATTAAAAATCAATCAGGTAAATCCACTATCTACCTAAAATTCTAATTCCTAGTCCGATAATTGAAATAATGTATATTCCTAATGATTGAAAACAGTGTTTTTCGAGTCATTTATCGATAGATAGGACAAGAAAATATAATTCAATATACTAATGAACTACAAAATCCACGTTCGGAAATTGTCCCTCAATAAGAAACGGATCAGTGTGCAGAGGTACTTTCGGGATTCTTGTATTTATTTTTCACAGACACATAGAAATATAAGTAATAAGTTACCTATACGGTGTAAATGTAAGAATTTAATAGACGAAAATAATCGCACTTAAATAAACAAATTATTCAATACTTTTGAATTATTTGAACATAGATTTATGAATAAACATATAAAATTTTTCCAATCTCTGGAATTAAGAAATAAGAATCAATCGGGTAAATCCACTATCTACCTAAAATTCTAA